GAACAGTTTCAGTGGCCGACCGTCGAGCATCCATAACACAGACACGAGCGACAACCGCAACTTGACCAGTTACAACCCAAGTGTAGATCGTGTGCATGGCAACTCCCGGGAGGACAAAGTGGGAGTCCAGGAAAGATCGAAATGGATCTGCGATACCCTCCTTGGCAGGAATCAAGCATGCAGACATATCCCTCAATCCACCTGAAGCGGAGGGAAGCTCAGCTAATGCTTGTCGGAATGATTCCTCTTCCAAATCAAATTCTTCCTGCCAGTTCGGGGTTCCAGTCTGCATAAAAGAAACATGTTCTTCTTCAAACGACTCGTCTTTCGAACTGACAGCTTCTACACTAGACATCTGCTCCAAGTCTTCACTGTTGTCACACGTAGCACTTTCATCCGTGGGGTCATCTCTCTCAATCTCCATCAACCTGAGAAAGATTCCTTCATACAGAGGGACATATTGATACCATTCATAGAAGGCAGCTCCACATCGAAGTGTGCACTCTGCCCCCCACGGACATTGGTTCTGTGGGTTTACCTGGTCAAAAACCTGCTGCACAGAAAGCCAAGTGTGAGTTCGGAAAACAAAGCTGGCTTGGCGAAAACTTCGAACCGTCTCATACTCAATCAAGGCAGGTATCAATCCATGTCCAATATAAGTAGTGACAATGTAATGTGGCTCGGGCCCCCTGCCACTACTAGGAGAAGGCCAAACAGGAAAGATGTAACATGATCTACGACCGAAAGTATGCACCCAGCGACTTCGAATATTATGACCTAGTGGCAGGTCAGGGTTGTGCGTGACAATACGCAAGTCCCTTTGCAGCTGTTGTATATGTTCAGCATGGTGCATCCACGTCAAACCATCTATCCTTACATTGCCTCCTCGAACCCGCCTGATGTGCCGAACAAGCATATCTTCCATCAGTGGACGTACTTGCATCAGGAAAGTTGAGTCTTGCAGGGGGTCAATTGAAAAATCAGCAACAATCCGCCCTTCAAAGACCTCCTGTTTGAGACATTCTTCCTTGTTCTTGATGTCAAAATCAAATTTTGATCCCTGAAGGAAGCGAAGGACATCATGTCGCCCATATCCCTGGCCTCGATGGGTATAAGCCACCTTCATGCCATTCTCAATCTCTCTCGGCAAGTCCCCCTCAATCAAAATTTCATCAAATGGCGTATACGATTGCAGACGGTGAGATTTCAGGGCACATCCAGGTTCATCATCAATAGTCCATTGTGAGAGCACTGGTGTTCCCTGGAGACTTGGCCAAAGATCCAAGATCAAGTGCACTTGTCCATTCACAGCAGCACTAATAGGCTGAGGTTCTACAAGATACAGCAAAGCTGACTCTCTTCGGTCATAATGGTCATGCCATAACCACTCAATGCGGCTATGTAGACTTGGAAGTATGCCTTTCTTTCTTCCATAGACCTTCAGGGTCCGCGTTGCTATATGCTTGCCCTTGAGACCATGTAGGTACAAGTGTACATCAGAAAACTGAGTTTGGACTACATCAATCTGTTGCCAAAAGGAATCCGGCAAGGAGATCTCAATCTGCCGCACAGCACGTTGTGCATTGTCATGTCCCCGGACGACATAACCAGAGCTGCTCGATCCAGATTTCCACGAAGAGCCTTGCATCAACGAAAAAATATCATCATTCATACTCCTGGCGGCCATCTCCCATTCAGTACCCCTTGGCTTGAGTCTAGAAACCTTTTTGAAAGGCTCGTTGTCCTTAGCAAAATCATAGATTTCAGACACTCCTTGGCTGTCATCCCAGGAGGGACAGGTCAGAGGGTGTGAGCCACCAAGCCCCCTTGTTAGGCACCTGTTCCCTCCCTCCACATAACTCATCGGTACGAAATGGATCAAAAATGCATTTGCAATGGCGACTCTTTGTGGTCTTTCCCTTGCACAAAATCGACAAGCTCGATTGGGTTTCTCGTACAGCCCCAGTTCACGCGCTTCTTCACCAGGCGTCTCAAGAAAACTCCAAGAGCTAAGGCCTTCGTAGACATCAGGAAGATGTTTAGCGCAATGCGAGTCCCCCCAAGGCTCAAAAGGATCCGCACTTCCACATGGAGGCATAAGATTGGCCATGTAATGTGTTGTCTCTTTGTAATCCTCCACAACTATGCACATACACATAATCAAAGCACGAAGGCCAAATCTACCGAACTGCTTTCCTGGCAGCCTCGCATGGATGGATCCTGCCTCCCTGGTCAAAGGGAAAGAGCATCTTTGCCAGAACTGTCTCCATCCATGAAACAAAATGAGAGCTGCAAGCATGGCACCAAAGATACACATAGAGCAGTCACGTACTGCCGTAAGGAGCCGCACACCCCAAATATCAATACCTGTGGTGCTCTCCACTGTATCCACATCCTCAAAAGTCAGGGTCAAATTCAGAGTGGTATAGACCCCACCACTCCAAAAAGCCAAATAGTGCAGATGTGTGGTAACTCGACCGTTGCTCCTTTGCCAAAAATGAGATCGGCAAAGCACCAAAATATAGTGAAGTTCAACAACCCAGCATACCATAAAGCAAGCTAGAATTGGAGATAATATCGTGGTGACAAAAAGATACTGCATCAGGCTTGTCAAAGAACTCATGTCAGAAAGACCGCATGGCAAACTCAAATGTTGCCAATCTGTGCCAGCCAAATCTGTATTGAGTTTCTGCCAAACAAAATGCACCCGCCAAGAAAAGCCATACCAAAGGTCACTATACGGACCACTCGGAAACCATCCCAGCAAGGCTTCAAAAGGAATGCCGTTCTCCTTGACTTCCATCATCATTCTCAAAGGAAGACCTTCGAGGAGGCTTCTACAACCAGCCCGAAGTGAGAATGCCACCCAAAAGAAGTCAAAAACAGAGAACAATTCATCTAGAATGCTGCCTCTAAAGTTGGCGCATCCTTGTGAAGATCCATGAGACTGCCCAATCATAGCGTCATAGCGTTCAGTGGAGATGATGCCCCCTCTAGGGGATTGGAGTCCTCCTCCACATCCATTGCCCTTGCTCGTCCTTTGCCAGAATGGGAGATCAATTTTTTGACAGGATGTCTGGAATTCCAAAAGGGTTGCAGAGGCCCTCGTCCACTCGTCACGATCTTGACCTCTTCTGGCACCTTGGTCATCTGCGCCAACATCTGCTGGGTCAGGATCACAATAGTTTCGACTGTCGGGAACTTCTCTGGTTCCGCCTCCACAATTGCAAGCACATGTTGTTGTTGTTCTGGAGGCAAAATGTTCAGAGCTTCTTGGACAGCCTGTTGCGTCAAGGGATTTACTGGTGTCCCTAACTCTTCTATTCGACAAGGCGATCTTGACCTCTCTCGAGAAGTTCTGGAGGTTCTTTCGGCCGATACACTTGTCATCGTCGCTCTGGCTGGCGGTTTCACATACTGAGGAGAATGAGGGGGTAGTGTTTCGGTGTTCCCCTTGACAGCAGTGAGCAGCATGGAAACTTGATATGCCAGGTCCTGGTTCCGCTGCTCCATTGTCTCGACATATGAAGCCATCTGCTACATCTTCCTGTTCATATCGTCCAGCTTCGAGTCTACAGCACTGTCGTTTACCTGAGGAACTTCTACACTCATCCCATCTTTGACATCCTTGTCGTCTTCGACTTGTGCCAATTCCTCCTTCAGCTTCTTGATCTCTTCCAAATGTTTGGCATCGGCTCTTTTGACTCCTTCCAGAATACCAGCCTTCCAGCTGGTATGATTCTCCGCCTTCTCCTTCAGCTGCTTCTCGATCTTCTCTCTCTTGGTCAGCTCCTTCTTCAACTTTTGCTGCTCTCTCAGAACCTCTCTGGGGTCTGTCTCGACCAGCTTTCGGATTTCGTCTGCTGACTCTACTTCCGAGAGATCTGCCTTCTGCGATAGGGCTTTGACAGCCTCCCGCAGTTTTTTGTTCTCCTCCTGTAGCAAGGAGGATTGCGCAGACGAGCCCTGCAAGGTAGAACTTCCGCCGATTGTAGTATCGATTTTGGTACCGTCGTGGTACCTCAATACTTGGCTGTCCGGCTTCTCCTTCTTGGGCTTTTCCTGCGGCTTCTTGTTCTCTTTTGGCCATGAGCCTTTCCAGGCTTCTGCTCGAGCATTCGAGCCCCATCTTCCCTTCCATGACATCCTGAAACGCACAGCGTATCGTGGTCGACTATGGTGGCTCTCCAGAAGTGCTTTAAGGCGTAAAGCCTTGAGCACCCTCCTGCCTCGGATGGCAGTGTGCCTAGGGAGCCTCCGTAGAAAGGCTCGAGCACGAGATCGCTTGGATCTCAACCGCCGATGCCAGTTGGGGCTTCGGCAGAAAGTCGGACCACCACGGATACCTATGGCTCAGGTAGAAGGCCGTCTCTCAGTGGAGACTGGGGCCACAAGTCGCTCCGAAGCTAACTTCGGCTATCTTGAGCCCTAGCTGCGGAGCCGCTCCAAAACAAACAGATCTCATCATGGAACCGGCTTTCTTCACAGCTCTCAGGTGGAGAGCTCGAGCTCACGAGAGCTTAAGGGTGGACCGCACGTACTCGGTCACTGGTCACGAGGGCCAGGGCGGCCCCAGCGAGGACGGACCGCAGGGCGGTGGAAGGTCGGACTGCAGTCAAGAAATTCATGCCTTGGAAGCCAAACAACCAGAAACACATGGATATTTCCCCAAATAGCCATGTGTAAAAGATGTCAACTGCCATATTTGGAACAACCATTTGTTTCTGGCTGTTTGGGTTTCCAGGTGTCTGCTTTAAGTATCCGGATCATTCTGAATTGTTTTTTTTTTTGAACTGATAGCAGCCACTGTCCGGAGTTGTTGTCACGTTTATTGTTGAAACGGTTTCCCCAAAACAACTTTTATTGGTATATATATAATATATCATATTTATATATAAGCTCTACCACCACATAGTGAAACAAAGCGATTAAGGCAATGATTTTTGGGATCATGAGACCGTGATATGGCGCCGGATATGGCCGGATCCCGGCCAAGCCACTTCTTTCATGGCCCATATGCACCAGGTTCCTTAGTCATCTACGTACCAGGCTGCAAACCCGCGGAAGGCTTGATGCGCCAGCGAGATGCGTGGTTCAGCGCTGCAACTTCCAGAAATTTGTATCCAAACACGACAAAAATGGGACTGGAATCTATGCCAATCGCTTGGGGCTTGGGGTTGTTTCAGGGTTCAATGTTGGCATATATTATATATGTAATGAAACAGTATATGTTCCAGTCACTGTTCCAGTCCCATGTAGTGTTTAGGGTATGAATCACATGATTCTTAGGACTCTCGACTGTAAAGTCTCTATCTAAAACCAACTCTGCAAATTTAAGCCAAGCGTATTCGGGGAGGTAATAACTAATACCGGCAAACAATCCTGATTAGGAAAGACCTGACATCTGGGAAAACATGAAATCTGCTTGTTTCGAACATATGTGGAGTGTGCACACAACTAAGTCAAGTTCTCTTGTCCCCAAAACAATCAATCCTGTTTGGGTGATTCTTTGGGTGCGAAAACTTGCGATGCAAAGCCACAAGAATATCCTTCGCAGCAAAACTCATGTTCGCAACAATTCACAACAAAAACGCATTGGTGGGCGGAGAATGCCTTCTGCTTGCAAATGCAACAAACAAATACACACCATCGACCCTCGTCATCCCCGCCAAGAGTCACCACCTTTTGAAATCCATGAAGGCTCAATGATTTCACCATCTGCTCCTAGCTTTGTGGCGGACGTGAGTGTGACGTTGCGTATGTGAACCCTGAAGGTCTACAGTCCCTGAAATTATCATGGAAATGGAACAGATTTTGCTTCACCAAGCACCCAATTCCTGCAATCCGATCGATCAGTCATGTGCACCCTCTCTGAGGTTCAGTGACCCCCTTGCCTTTATGCATCTCAAAAATATGACCCCAAAAAATAGACACAGCTTTTGACTCATCTTGACTATGTTCTTCTAGTTTGGTAGCTGCAGTAATTCCCTGGATGATCCATGCTCGGCCACCGCCGGACTCGCACGGCTGTTCGCAGGGGGTCCTGGATCCCTGCCATTCCACCGGTGAGCACCACCGCGTCGCTGGGCAGCTGTCGCGCCAGCCTTTTTGCATGGAATTCGAGCTATAGCGACAGCAGCAATATACAATAAGTTTAGAAAAATATTGACAAACTGAGGCATACTGAGGCATACTGACCTTCAACGTTCAGCAATAAGCCTACCGACCTTTAGGGCTCCTTGCTACGATGGGATGAAAGGAAAGGGTGCACCTCCCCCTCCTGGGCCATCACTAGAGTCTGACCTGACGTGGGGTTGCTCGGCGGAAACACCCGGCTTCACCGACGTTTTTACGTGGTCTACCACCACGTCCTCTTCCGAAGATGTATATCATTGCAATTAATTACATGGGGGAAATCAAAGGTTAACGTCGAATTGAAGACAGGACTTGGCTCCGTGAGGGTTCGTTGATTCCCTGGTGAAGAAACACCCCAGGTTCAGGTCTTGGCTCCGTTGGTACCAGCAGTCGTACAACGACTCTGAAGACAACATATGTAATATCTATATATATATATTATATTGATGTGGTTTCATGATGTTTCATGTTTTTCCTCAATCCTAATAGATCCGATCCTAGTATACCATCCTAATAGATCAATGTTGTTCATATGTATACCATTCTAAGAGTATATCCCATATCATATTAGTATACTATATAGTATACCATATCATATTGTCCATTGTGATCCTAAGAGTCTTTCTTTCACCTCAACCTCCCCGGGCCTCTCAGCGACGGCTTGGACCAAAGGTTTGGTCTCGGGGTTGTGCATCTCCTGCAGCGACGAGTTGGTCGGGTTGGCCCAGTGAACACTTTGAACTCGAAGGGATCCAAACGGGGAGCACTTGACTTGATATGGGTCTAGTTTCTTTGTTGGTGGGAAGACCACAAATCAAGACTGGTATAACTATACATAGCCCACAACTTCCGCTGCCCACAACCCCTTTCGCCTTGGGGTAGATTTATGCATGTGCTTGGACTTGCCATGACGTAAAGCGGAATTGAACAAAGCAGATTGAGACACGGATCGCGCACTTGCAGAAACGAGGTTACGTGGGAGTGTGGCGAGTACTCCCACCACAAAGCTCTTTTCGACCTTTTGTTCGCAGAATTGAACAGGTCTGTTGCTTGTTGGACGAATCCTTCCAAACACTAGAACTTGGTATATACCCCCGACATGGCCCATGTATGGAAGATTTGCCTACATTGAGGTCGTTTTGAGATACTGCAAAGGGCACATGTAGGTAAATATACGTAAATAATGGCAAAGATATGTAAAGTATAGATGGATTGTTGAAGTATCTAGAACATCTGATAAACCAAGCTCCAGGACCAAAGTAGTTACTGAGCTCTTCGAGACAGCCAAACAAAACAACATGTCTTTGAAGCCTATGCCCCCTCTGTTCGCTCTCTGATCCCCCCATACGATGAGCCACTTGTGGCTGGGATGAAAAAACCTTGGGAATTGGTATTACTTTCAACCACCACAGATTGGTGTGACTTGTCCCCATGATTCAACCCATATGGGACGACCACGTCGTTCTCCGCCCCGGGCGACCGGACGGTGCCGCCCAGGATGCAGATCCGCCCGTTGGGCGGCAGCGTCTCAGAGACCTGATCCGTGGGAACTTTCGTGTTGTTTTAAGACATGCAACATCCGCAACATGGTTTACATATGTTTCTTATATGTAGCGCGGATGTGGCGGATGTATCGCAACATGTTTATATATATACTACGTTTTTGTTGTGTTCTTGTTCTTTCCCTCGTCAGCATACTATATTGACGGGGAACCCTGCTGGCATGCACTGAGCCTGGAAGAGTCCAACGATAGGAACTCACTGAGTCTTCCACGCAACAATTCACTGGCATCAGCAGCCAGGGGTGGACTACTAGCATTTGTGGGTGGTCCCTTCAAGTGTCAAATGTATCGACAGCCTCGGTTTTGAAAGTCGACTCCGACCCAGCTGCCATGGGGCTCCTTTCCAGGCTCTGCGCATCTGGCGTTCTCAACGGATAATATTATACCTGGATCTTTCCAAGCATGCCAAATTTATGCCGTTTCATCTATAAACCCAGCCAAAGGGATCCTAAAGGCATAAATGTTACAATAGTTGGAGGATTTATATTATTTATAAAGGCCCCAAAAACGTGTGGTGAATGACCACGACCTGGTTCGTTCTCGTTCGGTCCCTGGACAGTTCAACTAAGTCACACGTGTGTGCTTTCACACGACGTTCTCGCACGTGTCTCTTCAAAGGTCTCGTTCCTGTTCGGATCAAGCCACAGCTTGCAGCAAACGGTCAATCTCTTCTCGTTCCACCTGCGCCTGGGCCGTGCGATGGTATGGGACTTAGTAGGGCTGAGAGGAACGGCAGGGAGACAGAAGGAACAGTGCTGCTTTCTGAGCACTCCTGGTCGAGTACATGGAATAATGACAAATCCAACATCAACAGAATCTGTCGAGATCATTCAATGACCAAGCCTTGAGCCATTCCAAATTCTATTGGTTTTTGAAGGATGCAACATCTCCAGATTATTCCAGCTACGGACTCTACTCCACCATGGATACACAGAAAGGAGTGTAAAGGAGGCTACCTGATACAGCCTGATCTTGGCTATCTGCTTCATTTCACTTGAGGTGAATGGAGCGTCAACCTCCAGCCAGAAAGACATGGTATAGTTAGGAGTTAGGATATGATGTCCCACAAACATCGGTTTTCATCTGCAATCTGTTCCATGGGGTGTGGAAGCTTGCGTTCGCTTGTGTGTTTTTTTTTTTTTCTGGCAGTGGACGCTGGAGTTGGAAGGGCGGACATATATAGCAAAGTGTATATAGGTATGCGGTATACGGTATATAGTTGTATACACACCTACTGTTGCTGGACCGGGACAAATGGTACATACATGAACTTAACCCCATTCAATGAGCCACACTTTGGCAACTTTCAGGTGCCTCATCCCAGCAGGCAGGTTTTGTTGCGAGTACAAACTCTTGCACTGCACTTCTGTGTATCACACAGCAGCACTGTCAATGAACTTGTTTACTTGATGGGTTGGCTAGTCTCCGCGATTTTAAGGAGCGAAGCGATTACATCTTAAAATGATTACATTAATTGTAGATCCACTGTGGTGAACCTTCAGCACTTGATGTCAATCCTAAAATGGATACATCTCCGTCCAAGTGCCAAGGACCAGGTGATGTTTATGCCCCAGGATCAGATGGATCCCATGCAGCCAATCCCCTGGTGAACCGACCAAACAAGAACAAATGACTTGTCAAATTAGCAGCAAAGGTTCTCGCACCGTGGGTTGACTTCATGTTCTCCGTCCAAAGCAACATGCAAACCATGCACTAAGAAAACATGAGAAGCAGAATACGAGTGGCGGCCATTCCAAATGCAGCAAACAAAACAATCGTTGAAGTAATAGATCCCCCAGCTCTTATATCGAAACCACCCATTGCGCTTCCCTGCGACCGGCCTCTTTCAGCCAGCGCATGGTCAAACAAACCCAAGATCTCAACCTCCCAAAGCCAAGATCTCAGCTCCTCCTAACCCCGATCTCTGCCTGGTCCGGCTGTTTGCGAATCGGCAGCAGGAGCTTGTTCGACACCGCAGGCGGCCCCTGGCAGCAGAGGGGCCGAGCAGGCCGGAGAGAACTCCCAGGTCGGTTTCACTTGCTGTTGAGCAGCCCAGGTCATGCCAAAGAATGCCATTCAACAAGGTGGGGAGCTGGGAACAAGCGGTGGATCTCAATCAAAAACAAGAAGGTTCTCTACTCCCTGGTGGATGATGAACATGTTTGGAATGCTAGACAGTTTTTGTAGAACCTTCTGCTCCGTGGCCAGCAATCCAAGAAATACTTGCTTGCCCCATTCCAGGTCTCATCAGGCCGCATGCAAGGTTTCCATGAGCTGTACGCAACCGAGTTGAAAAGGACGGTTTGTTCCGATTTGTTCCTGAAGAAAGAAATCAGAATTCGAGTTCCAAGAAAATGACTATAGTGACTATTCCACATTCCTTTTAGCATGAGCTTTGAAAAGCCATGAGATGTCATGAGACGTCATGAGTACATCCAGCACCCTGGTGAAGAAAATGAGCGCCGGTCCAGCTTTCTTAGGGTTCCATCTCTCTTGGGACTCGATCGAGTCCAACGACGTGCTCTCCTTGACGTCCTCGTTCTCGTTCTTCTGGTTCCCTCGCGCAGGACTCCTGTCGTGCTCGATCGGTAGAGCATGAGACATGTCGGTAACATGGGTGAGACATGTCCGTAAACTGGTGCAGTGGTTGCTAGTAGCTTCTTGTTACTACAGTAGTAATGCACTGCTACTAGTAACTTAGTAACGATGCACTTGTTAATAGTTCCTAAAATAAAGGGATGTGGCCCAAAACCCTGTTCAACAATCCTGGTTCTATAGTACAGGAAAATCAAGTACAAGTCACGATCCACAAAGCTGGTGCACATTTCAGCACTCTGTTCCAGTCTGTACCGGTCATTGGCACTCTTCAACGAACTAGCTAAATGGTGGCACACCCTTGGGCAAGGCACAAACAGCTCACATCACATCCTTCTCACGCGAGAAAAGACAATATAACGGACTCCATGTGCACAGCTGCACGGCCGTCTCCTCTCGCCAATACGCCCAAGGAGAAGGCCACCGCCCTCCTGTGGGTGGCTACCAGACCCCCCGACTCGAGGATGACAGATCGAACCCCAACTGATTTGGAACATGTTTTTGCCATGGCGGCATCGCTACTAGTAACAAGTGCATTGCTACTAGTAACAAGAAGCTACTAGTAACTATGAAGGGACGAATCATGTTTATCATGTTTTGCGTTGTTTTGCCATGGCAGAACCGTGACCGGTGTTTTCTCCCAGTTCAGACCACTGCTTCAGCAGGCTTATCCTTGTCAGGTTCCCTGAAGGCCCTTGGCGGTCTATCAGTGGAAATAGGCTGGCACTTGGAGCACCTGGAACTCATTTCATCACCCGCCAAAACCAATGGAGATTGAAACCAATTGGTGGAGGTTCGTGATTTGGCCCCAAAGCCCATAGAGCCATCAACTTCACATTGCTATGTTTGCTAGGATTCCAAATCAACCCAACATCCCTGTGCAAACACAACATCACATGGTTAACACATGGCACATTGCAACTGTATAGTAACCTTGTATAAGCCTGGTCCATCAGCGAGGTCACCGACCGAGACAACGCGCCTCCGACTTCCCCAAGGGTGCCGTCACCGAGACCTGCGGTGCCTCCGCCTCGAGTGAAACGGGTGCGCCGGTTGGCAGCCAAAAGCATGGAGAGAACATCCAGATCAAGAATCCTAGTGGATCCTCAGTGGATCCAAGTATGTTGTTGATACTGGAAAGTGGATCGTATAGTGGGTTTATATACTTGAATATCAAGAATCCAACATGATTCACTACAAAAGCATGCGAACACAACCCGCCAGGTGGAAAAAGTGGAAGTCGTTCCTTTTCCCCAAGAAAATAGGTTAACAAAAGCAAACAGTTCAAAAAGGCATAGTTTGGTTTCAAGATAATTGATAAATTGTGGACATGGTAACCTATAATAAAAGTTGTTAATTCTAGATTAACCGAAGAAGGCGTCGGTCGCCCCAAGAACCAGCAACTTCATGAGCTGGTTGCAGCATCATGTCAGCCATCTCGCGAATTCATGAAATGATCCAAAGCTGCTCACTGCTTCGCCTTGAGCGCCTGCCACACGGCTCGGCCCGGCTCAGAGGCTCGGCTGAGCCCACGCGAGGGAGGCTTCATCTCCACCGCGCGTGGTCGTGCTGGACCGGCACGACCGCCTCGGTTGTAGTGCTTTTCCTCGCCAGGTGGGCGCCTCGTCGCCTAGTCTGGCTTCTTCCCATTGACCTCTGCGTCGCCGCCCACAGTGCGTAGATGGGTGATGTATTAACATGGGGAGACCTCCCAGTTCGACCCTCCTGGAAGAAGGAACATAGATCAAAATACACACCCATAATATGAAACCACAATGGACTGGGACCTGCCCCTGCGTCCTGTCCGCAGCTTGCGTCCCACTGCAAATCGAAGTGAAAAATCCCGAAACGATGCCTGCGGCAACCAGGTGAAAGTTCAAGCCCAAGCAGCTTGAGCGTCTCTGGTTCCTGAATCTGTCAACTTTATTACATCAGTTCCACTCATAGGTTACTCGCCTAAACGCTACCTAAAGGCTTCAATACCACTACTGCAGTGATGTTGCTGAACACATCTGAAAGTGTCTCGGATTTGCTTCGATACTCTTGAAAGTGGTTGATGTAGAGGATTTGAACCAATTTCTTTTCGGATGAATAGACAGAAAGGTTGTGACCGCCCCTGAAGACAGAAATATGTGGGACTCATGACTCATATCCCTGATCTTGAGAGATCTCGAATATACCTGCTTACACCTCTGATCCGTCCACCCAGTGACTCACGTGACTCAGGGCGCCTGAGCCTGTGTGCCATGCTTGCAGCCCATGGTGAGCCCCTGCGGCTGAAAACATGCAAATCAGCACCGCTTTAAAGCCGTAGGTACCATCTGAGTATATCTGAATCAAACAGCATCAGTTGGGCTGGATTGATTCTTAAGCCCCTGTAGTTAGAGGTGATGATGTCCAACTAAAAGGTCCTGGACCAAAATGGACCTCTTAAAAAGTGCCAAGAAATATGGACTCATGTCCCATGCGACAGACTGGGTGTGGTGGGGAAAATATCAACCATTCAAAGGCATTCTATGACTCGATCATCACAAAATCACAGGATGCCACAAGTTCTGTCCTGGTTATGTTGCTCTGAGTTTTCTGGCGTGCCGCTTCTAAACGAAGACGAAAGAGTGAAACCTTGAAAAAACATGACACAAATATATCACAATGACTATATACGCTATATATATATTATATAACTAATTACATCTATATAATTACTATCAAAAGGCCAACACAACTTATCTCAAATAGACCTTGAGACAGATTCATCTTTGGATTTGGAACAGTTGGTCTCCTCACCCCGTGGTGTCTCCGCGGTGTCTCCCTTCAGCCACCGGTGTCTTCCCCACCTTCCAGTTGATGGATCGCACGGCTCTCGGGCCTTCTCTCCCCCCGTTCGAGAGCCAAAACAATGTGACCGTTCTGGACTGCGACGACGAAACTCTCGGCCGTTGTTGTTGTTTTTGGCATCGGACCTGACGTCGTCGTTCGTACGAATTAAGAAAACAACAACGATACTTGTCACTTGTCTATGTACTTGTACCCATTTTCCGTTGTACGAACTAAGACTCCAGGTGTGTTTGTGTGTTTTCTTTGGTTCCCAGTAATGTACTGCAGCAACAAACCACCATCACCTGACAACATCTGGAGGTGATTCAAGATTGTGAACGAACCGGTGAGCGATTGATACGTTGCTGATCTGCACTTTAACAAAAATACAATCCATTTGGAAGCAAGTGCGTCTGTGATTGACACCACCATCACAACTACGACCCGACGTGGTAACTTACCCCATCGCACAGAAACTCGACACACCCCCATGGCACACCGCTTACCCCACGAATTCGTGCCCCAAACACAATGGCGCACCGCTTCGACACAAGTACATTTTCTCATAGGTTTCTTCTAAACCTACACCATTCCATTGCGATTCAATCTTCGACATGTTGATGAGTTGAAATGTTTTCTGTGGGCTGCCATGATCCCACCGGCCCACCGATTCTGGCACAAAGTTACAGTAATCCGAGCACCCAGTATCATAAACATGTTTCGGTTTCGACCTGATTTGACAAACATATCGTAACTGTGACCTATAGAAATTTAACCATGCCCTCTACAGGGCACTTGAGTGGACATCCCTGTCGAAGGCTAAGCCCGCAAGCCCGCTGCGTCCTTGGTCAACTCCAAAGAGGTCGCTCCAGTGAGTGTCAAAACGTTCATCTGAGATCGTTTGGAAATGTGTGGAACATTGAACCATTATTCCAACAAAAATATCACATATCATATCATTAAATATCCAAATCCCAGAGATGAAGGCTTGGCATCCTGAATACGTTTTTCTCTTTCTTAAGGCATGGGACCTGAAACCCAAGCACAATCCTGGTCCACTGAGTAGTTGAGACACTTTTGAATGAACACAGGGTCAGCAGCCTAATGTTTGGGCTGGGGTGGGGGTTTGCAATCACTTAGGCAGCTAGCTCTGAACCCCCCCTGAAATGCGTTGAACCCTTTGGAAGCCTTTTGTTAATTGTCCAACGGTCCATGTGCTCGTTTGATTCTCATCCTCCTCATCCTCATCCTCTTGAACTCGCCCAACCCAAAATGCCATCACCCACTCACCGTCACTCCCGAGTCGGTTTCTCCACAAGTCGAAGGGCAGAAGTTGTGTGGATGTGGATGGTAAACCTATAGACGAACACATTTGATGAACACATCACCCCTTTTAAGTGGAGTTCACCCCCTGCTTGTAGTTGAAAGTAGTCCTCCAAGCTTTCAGGGTCAATGTTCCACTTCTGTCAGTCAGTCAGAGTGCATAGGGAATCCTGGACGCTGGCCACGTGTTCTTTGGATTACCACTTGCTTCTCCGTTCGCTTGTCGCGCAGCTGATATTCAGCATGGGCGAACGGCCATGATTCAGCCGATTCACAAGATTCACAGGACTAAAGGATATTTACAGGATACCACCAGCTGGGCTGTCGATTTCCCGAGGAGCTTGCGTGCGCTGTGCAAACAGTTGCCCATGGAGCTTGCAGTCAGTTTCTATACAATTGTCAGCTACGTTGTCCTGTTAAGGTTGCCAGTCCTGCAGTTCTAGCTGAACTGGTGTCCTGTCATGTCCACTCTCTCTCTCTCTCTTTCTATACATATACTGTTAATCTCGATTAATACATGTCTGTTCTATCTATATATTTGGTGTTGGCTCATGCTATGTACTTTGCCGAGATGCTTTAAATCCCTGGACACATGTTTCTTCCGGATTTCATCTTCCACAAACTGACCCTTTGGAGTGTCCCTGTCCATGTGCGAACACACATCCAAAGCAATTCAATCAGCGACCCAGCACTGCCAGGCATCAGACCATCTCAGACTGGGAGGTACCCTGGGAATCCCTGGGAACTATTTTCCTGATCTTCTCAATCCTGATCTTCTCAAGATTTGGCCACTGCCGTCCAGGACGCCATGCTACACTACTCGTCACTAAGTAGTCACTCACATTGAGAATGAATAGGCTTCCAACCAATATTGATTGTAATACTGGCTTTTACTCTAACAACTCTTGTTTTACTTTAAACTACAAACCCCAGGAATGGACCCGTCCAACTAACCCGTCCAACTATATAAGCTCTTTCGTTCGCTCCGGAACTCCGGTCTCCTCAGGAAATCCGTGCAAAGGGGCGACCGTTCCCATGGTTCAGATATCTCGCCTGAGGTCTCCAGCCTTGACGAGTCGGCTCCGAGTTCGTCGTGAAGTATTCACCGGATGCATCCACCGGTCGACGGAAGACAAGCGCTCTGACTTGATACGGAGTGGGGCTTCCTTGTTCAATTGTTTCTGCTTGATAGGAGTGTTTTTAGTATTTTTTAGTTATAGGCTATCAATCCTCCAGGTGTGTAGAGGGTAAAATTACTTCATCATGTTATGTTCTATAATCAGCTGCAGGTTTGATTCATGTTCTTAAAAGCCTTTGGCATTGTTTTCAACGAAGCATCGTGGTATTTGTGGGCAACCACCAAGGAACCCACGTTTCACACACCACGGCCACTTGATCCTCAATCCAGCTTTGGTCATGCGTTCCACACGGTCCGACCCAAGACCAGTCTGTCGACAGGGAATGCCGGGCAGTTCTGTGAATAAGTAGGGAGCGTCCAGGTGCTATAGATGGGTGGACAATAACTGGTCACCAATCAGGGATCTGACCGTCTATACACGCCCATGGTTTAGTATAGTAGGGATTCTAAATGACTTCGAACATATTCGAACTCACCAGCCAGTCTAGTAGCGCCATCACCATTTCCCATCACACGGGCTTCCGTGTAGTGGCCGACCTTCCAGCACGTTATTACATGCGTTCGTCAGATAGAAGTAAAGGGAAAAGCTGAGATGGCTGTGAGTCAAACCCTGGGGCCCGGCGGCCCGACCAGTCCACCATGTAGCGAACGTGCGACCGCTCGCTATATCGTGCCCGGTCGGTCTCCTGTCAGTCTCCCCACAGCCAGATGGCTTGGTGTATCCAAAGAATACATCGAATTGACTGGACAACATCCGAGAAAGATACAACTGTAGATACATGTCAATACTCCCAATATGAGCACGATTACAACATCATGCCATAAAACAGGGCATATAACATAGTCGTCTATAACACTCCCATATCTAATATAATGAACATGCACCACTCTTCATCTTCACCTGTACATCTTGACCTGGAACATTAAGCTGCAAATTTGTGTCTCAATGATTCTTGACCTCTACCACTCACCAGTGAGGAAAGGTGCGAACACAAAAAACTCCCAAAACGGTAGATGGGATTGGACGGGATTGGACGTAGCTCCCATCTCTTCCAGGGGTTGCACATGCCTCTTTCCAGCCCGAATTGGCGGGAACACAATGGAAACGTATCATCACGGCCCGGAAAAGGGGTGGCCTATGTGGACACCCCGCGTTTCGGGAGGGGGGGTCTATGAATCTGCCAATGGATGGTGTTCATCATGTTCCCTCCCTTTGGGCTTGGGCCAGGTGTGCCCTGCGCGCGGGCCCTGATGGGCGCCATTCCACCTCCCTGCCCATCTGTGGGCTGGCCAAGGCACCCTCCAACACGAAGTCCAGGTCTGTCTCCTCGCTCTCAACTTCGTCCCTGGGCGGATCCGTAAACCTGGCGCGAGACAAACACATGCGCGGTTCGCTGCCGGCGGCAGCTGGGGTGTTTAAACACATGGTAACTTGGCGCGGCCGGCGGAGGCTTTGTGACCGAATCTTCGGTGTTGACCCCGGTGGAACACTGCTTACCCTTAGACTTCTAGTTGAAGATTAAGAACAAAAATCAACTAGAAGTGTTGTGTAAGCAGTGTTGGGTTCAACAAATGAAGGAGGTTCTTGTTCTTGTGTACCATGTATTGATACGTTTGTCCAACTATGACCTTCTTCGCCGAAAGCGTGGTTGAAAGCTTTCAGAGGCCCATTCGGATCACTTCTTCCATGACCATCCAACGGGTGTGCTAGCCCGGTCTAGTAATTCAATCAATCATGATCGATGATCGGCCAATATGTATGATGTTCACCATGTTGAAGACCCCTTGGTGACAGTTGCCTGCAAACTTGCCGAGTGTAGTGGTGGCCGCTGAAGCAAGAACACTTCATAATATAGAATGCAAGATGGGACAGCATTAATCATTAGTCGTGATAGGAGCTCATATTGGCTGGAGGCTCGCCCACTTGTGAACAAGCGTTCTGAAAACAACATGAAGTTTGCTGTGTCTAAAGCCAAAATGTCTTCATCATTGTGGCCTTTCCACACTATAGCGGACAATCACGCACAAACAGCCAAAGAAACCTGGAATCTCGACTACAAAGGCCAAAACAGTATACAAAACATCAAGGTAAAGGATGTGTTTGGTTCCTGATCATATCTATCACGATATATTTCACGCTGCTACTGATGATCAACTCAACCTCCAACTGCCAGCACACTGCACTCACCCTCCCACCGCGGTGCACAGCCTTTGCACAGTGGAAGAACTAAAGTCGTGTGCCGGCCTGGGCGCATCGCAGTGCATGGATCGACCTTCTCGTCCAGAGTTTTGAGATGCCCCTACAAACGATCAGGGACCGTATGGACCGTGCCGTATTGATCACTCAAGTTAAAAATTACTAATTAAGACTGCGACTCAGACTCCTAAAACCAGTTGGTTTTCTCCACATTCCTGGATCCTGGCCGTTCGCTCTGAGTAAGCGAGACGAATCCGTTCCCAAGATCCCGAGTTCCCCGCACCAGCCCGCTTGGTGATTGGACTCAGGTAACTCGGGGCGAAGAAAGGATGACTTTTCTTGGTTGCACTCCTTGAAATCATGGACGTAGAAACCACCTGTTTGTATCTGTTTGCATCCAAGGGGCCATGCCATCCACTTCGATTATTTCGGGGAGTGTAACAAAAGGCCCAAAAGAACCTATATTTCTGGGGATTGCAGCATCCATGCAGCAAACCTTGCTGAGCTTTGCACGGCGTGGGGCTGCGCAAAGGCATTGGGTGGTAGAAGGCGGGCCTCCGTGTTCAGCGCTCGTTCCGCATGCTGCAAAGAAGAGAATCGTGTTCCCAGGATTCCATATAATCCTTATAGCCTCAAGGGGCTCAAGCCCATGGGATCCTAGCCAGGCTAGTGGGCGGAGGATCCTTATACATATATTGTATATATAGGTTCCACTGTCCATGCGAAAGAGTCGACGACTTAAGGCTAACGAGCAAAATCACCTCCGGAGTCCCGGACTGGCCACCATCAGTGTTACAAGATGCCCACCAAATGGGTGAGGGAGTCTTGCTAGCCATTTTATAGATACTAAACATTATAAAACGGTGGGCCCAAGGTCCACAAGGATTATACTATAAAATGACCATTCCTGACATGCTTTCATTCTCCATGTTTTGACTGTGGGTGACATCCTAAATCCTGCTAAATTCTGAACTGAAACTGACAACGAGCCTGCAAGAACAAAAAATTATCTATAGAAATCAATTCCTGACTCCCCTGAGGGGGTCTCATGAAACGTTTTATGAGAGGACCCAACTCCCTCCATTTTATAGAGGATTTGGGGTTGGGTATGTTACAAGCAACGGAAACGAGTTGCGTCTCGGTTTGCATCTCCGTCTTCCTGCAGCTGATTGCTGCGCTGCTCACCGTTCGAGTCGACTGGACTCGATTGGTTTGGACTCGCCCAAGGCACCCTGGAGTCTTCGGGTCTTCCGGCAAGTCGGAACACCTGGCAACGGTCGAAGGCGACCCACCGATCGATGCAATGAACTGCGCCATTGCTTTTGTTGGAACGTGTTTCAAATGATCAAAGCTATTTGCAGTCTTGGCCCTTGGCGAAGCAACAAGGGTTGAATGGATTCCATCAATGGATGACATATATGAATGAGTCAACTCGAGCTTTGACGCGTCTGATCCTAACATCAATGGTCCCAAGATGTCCCCGGAGGTAGACGTGCTTTCGAAAGCGAAGAGATCAAGACCGGAGTTCTATGGAGTTCTGAAAACGATCGTCCTGGTGGATTCCAAACATTCGGACTTCCAATCTGGACTGAACAGAAGCGCAACAAGCGAAAGGCGAAATAAAATGGAACATGAGTTGAAAGCTATAAAGAACCTTTCCCTTGGTGTTTCTGCAAATGCACTTGTCAGTCTGCTTCTAAAGGCCCTGCCTACTATAGGCTATCTTTAAATCAGCATGGATACCAGAATTCCTGCCACCCTCCGGTCCTCCAGCGCGGCTCGGTCGAGTTGAACACCTGCACACTCATGCATTCTCACGCATTCTCGGCTTTGGAACCCAGCCGAAACAACTATGGCAAGAATAGAAACATCAAGAAACACAACCCCAAGCCCCACGAAAACCATGTGGGAGACTGAGGCTTTCAGGTCCATTTTCTTTTGGGGGGCCTTTCACAAACTGCTCAGACCCAGGGGCTTCACTTAAATTGCCTCATAGACTCCAGCATCCAAAAGTCAAACAAGTGGAAGGCGGTGTATGAACACCTCTCATTGCTGTTATGAAACAGAACAAGGAAGTACTCCTACAATCCATGACGAGTCTTTCCACTCATTCATTCCACAAAAAAAAACAGATTTGCAATGCAACAATGTAGAAGACTTTGCACATCGAGACGGTGATTCAGCTTTTTGGAGTCACCTGTTGCTTTGGGACAGTGCTATGTGATCGTGTGCGTCATAGTGATAGTATATGTGTTGGTGCTATGTTGCTTATGTTCCTCTTTGCTCAACAATGCGACTTCACTGGATGCAAGCAACCTGAGACTCCGAACGGACCCCCCATGAAATACAGTAGCTCGAACGTGGGAAGGGTTTCTCAGTTGATCTTGAATGATCCTGGATTTCAAGGAAAAATGGAACTACCCGCTAACCGAGTCGTAACCTTCCCAAAGCCCATTCGTTGGACAGGGGCGTCAAATTGAGACACATCCAACATTCAGAACAATACCAAGCATCTTATAGCTGCCTCATCTTCAGGTTGCATTCTCCACAGCTGCCCGGAGGGAAGTTCCGGATCTGACGACAAGGACGACGACTTCCAGGCTTGTTTCGAAAATTTTGGCCAGCAGCCTACAGCTACACTCCTTGAAATCCACATGCAAGTGGAAAACCACCTGTCTGGTCGTAGGAAAAAGGGTCTTCCAGGGGGCCATGCCATCCACTTCCAAGGCACCATCTGAAAACGATTCGCCAAGCACTGGGTATACCGTGGCCCCCTTCAGATTCCATGTTCAGTGGTGAGAAAGAACCAAAGCGAACCGAACCCACTCAGCTACGGGTCCATTTGGTGAACTACATACTCCACACCACTTGTCATCCAAACACCAAACTCTCTCTCTGGTCCGTCCTCGCCAGCTATAGTACATGGTCCTCAACAAGCGGCAACCAACAAGCGGTCATGGTCAGAAACCCAGCTCGACACTCACAGACCAGAAGGTGCCAATTACCCCTTGGGCATTGGTCTTTTCAGTTGCAAGATGGCAACAATGACGACGAGGTTTGAGCGGCAAGAAGTGGCCGCAACGCACCAATTACACCAGCAATAGACCAATATAGTTCATTTTTATGTAAACGATATGTAATCTGCTGGTGTGCTTATTTTTCAAATTTCTCGATCGCTGAATTATCTATGAAAATTGATTTACTATATTCTATAGACCAAAATCTTCACTGGTCACAAAATGTATCAAATTCACTGCACAAGTGCTGCGTTTCATGTCTGCTAACTATTGACAGCTCGAGAACCTTGCACTTGTTCTTTGGACACAGAGACATGCACACTGCTCCCACTAGAACGCCGCTATTCCACTCCCCTTCTGCCCAAGCCCTACACCTCCAGTTCTTGACCGTTCTGCCAGCGAAACGTCGGCGGGCCCGCCGTGTCGAGTCAGCGATCGACGTCCCGGACGCCGAAGCGGGCGCGTTTGCGGCGTCGCACCGTAGTCGCCAGGCGCTGGCGAGCATGGGCGATGAAGGCCCTCATGGGCAAGGCCTTGAGAAGAGTCGAAGATGGTGAGGGTGAGGGTTCGCCGGACCCGCCGGACTCTGGTTGAAAGAACCATTTTGCACCATGAGAATGGCTATATGGATGCCAGTCACACCACTGCCACTTGGGTGATGTGCGCGGTCATACTCTTTTTGTGCTCGGGGATCGGGGAAGACATATGCACAGCCAAGTATGTTATCTCAGGTATCTTCTCTTGGAGCCTGCAGCCGCCCTCATCTTGCAAAAAGTGCGTTCAACAAACTAAAACAATCGCACATTCACCTGCATCACAATTACCCTGCACTACCACCCACGCTCGATGATTTGTTCCTTCTTGGCTCGCCAGCTCCTTGCCTTCCCAATTGCCTCTTCATACACTAGAAGTTCAGTAGCACACACTATTACAATAACAAGCCGCCTTACTACAGCCTAAAAGAACACTTGTCGACATGAAAGACCAAAAACCTTCCATCACAAAGGTCCGGTTGGGGCTCCGGGTTTTTGGTTCCCGGATTGGTGTTTTCGGTTCCCGCGGTGCTTTTTCTTCCCGCGTTGGTGTTTTCGGTTCCCGCGGTGTTTTTGGTTCCCAAGTGGGTTTTTGGTTCCCGCGCGGCGGTGTTGCGGCTCCAGCCGCAAGAACAGCGGGAACAGCAACAGCTAGCACAGCAGTAAGCACGGACAAGAGCGAAACTACGTGCTGCAGAACCAAACAGTACTGCTGCAGCTGGGGGCCAAACGACAGCGAAGCGGAGGAATCCAACCTGGTAGGCTCAGATTTAGCAGCGCAAAGCTAAGTAAGCAGAAGCAGCTGCAATTAAGCTACAGGCTGGTGTTTTCACTGTAAGGGCACAGTGCTGGCGCAAATAGTCTTTGGCGGTCCAGCACCAGTTGGCCTGGTACAAGGTTACATGCCAAATTGTAACGGCATGGTAGGAGCGATACACTACATGATAGATAACTTTGTACCGCCTGCCTCGTCTTCTTCGCTGAGGGTCTCCCAGCGCGTCATGGCCAAAAATGAGGCTCTGTATGCTTTCGTCTATGTGTTCGTACAGTGCGCGGTTATGATGGTGTCACCGGGTACCATGTGTTTTTGCGGCAGTGGGTTTACGCAAACTGTCATGTTTTTACAGCGAATGGCTTTGACGGTTTTGCGGTTTTCTTTGTCTGTTTAATTGCGTGACACGGGTACGTGCTTTCAAATCCAGCGGTGGGCAATGGTAGCCAGAAATTCAAACGAAAGCTGACAAACAAACACGTGAAAGGGCACACCAACACAGGAGCCGGGCAGGGAACACATTGTCCAGGACTGAAAACACCCAAACCTGGGAACCAAAAACACCAACACAGGAGCTGGGCAAGGAAAACACCAATCCAGGAACTGAAAACACACAGACCTGGGGGGGAGAACTCCGGGAAGGGAAAACACCAAGAGTGGGAACCAAAAAAAAATACAGAAGGCGGGAAGGAAAAACACCAATCCAGGAACTGGAAACACCAAGACCTGGGAACCAGAAACACCACGGGAACCGAAGAAAAAACAATCTGGGAAAAGGAAACACCACGGGAAGGGAAAACACCAATCTGGGAACTGAAAACACCCAACCCGGTTGGTGGTGGAACTGAAAACACCCAACCCGGTTTGGTTTCTCAACTTGGGGTCAATAGGGGCATATAGGGGCGGGAAAGAACTGAACGCATCGGTGCGTCATGCCATGTCACGCCATCTAGACCAAACATTCCTGGTTTTGGGAGTTCACAGAACTGTATATTTAATAACCCACCGGGTTCATTCTTTACAGGAGGAACCTATATTATATTATATAATAATATTAAGTATGATGAAGTGAATTTATCAGCTACACAGATCTCACCATGCATCACGTCTATCGCCAAGCCACGCAAGGCTCTCCTGCGGTGTGTGTGTGTGTGTGTGTGTTTGATGCGGTCGTGATCTGAAAGCGAACCCCTGGAACTTGAACACGGTTTTCCTCTACATGGGGAATCAAATGGTAGTTGCTCGGCATCAGCGAGAAAAGGGCTCTGGAATATGAAATCCACCAATGACTGGGAGTGGTTTGGAAGTGACATGAGTCACATGTGAGTTACAGTACTTGAGGATGGATACTGTATACTTCATGTGGTGCTATATCCAAGCTTTGAGGCTTTTCCTCTGGCAATGTTGGAGAGGTCATGTCCAGTTCAAAGCCACGGATAGTTGACTCAAGCTTCTGAATTCCACTGAATTCCTATATGTCTGACGACCCTATTTCTTGCAAATCGTAAAGGTTTAGCAGAAGCACCCGCGCTTTTGCCCACATCACATGCGTTTGCCCCAAAATGGAACACTGTAGAAACCACGTCACCAGCTTCTGCTTCCTACAGCTAGCAATGCTGCACTTCTCTCAATTGGCGCAGCATTTGTCCGGCGTGCCGGGCAGCGGTTGCTCATCTACCAGTGGACTGGGCAGATCCGTGGTTTGCTCACCCATGTTTCCCCCTATGGACCCTGTAGACTCTTGATCCATGAAACGCCCCCCATTCATCATTGGCGTTGTAAACCGGCTTGAAGCAGCGGAAATAACATCCATGTCAATGAGTCTACCAGGGGTAGCTCAGGGAGACCTTCCAGGAACCAACGACCTTCCGAACGCCCAGCCCGGTCTCCTGGTCATGACGTTCAAACGTCTCAACGGGTCGGGTGGGATCACTTCCCTGCCGTGACGCACGCGACAAAGGAATGACAAACAGGTGCTGCAATGCCCAAAAAAACAAAGAGCATGTCAATCACTGAACTGGCCACAAAGTGGCAGTTGTCGGAAACCATGCACCCTTTTTGGGTCAAAAGACTTTCAGCACTTCAACAACTGACACCACCTCAAAGTATGAAGTTGATTGAAGTACTTGGAGAAGCCGTCTCGTGTGTGGGTGATGGCGCTCCTTGGACTGGGGCACCGTGTTCCAACGAAATGGGTGCGGGTCATGGCTGGATTACAGCGGTGGACTACTGAACATGAACAGATTCCTGATGATTCCTGTGTAAGGGAGGTGAAGCTACCATGGCTTGGTGGAGGAGGTATAGCAACTGGCCAGAGGAGGTAACAGCATCTTACAGCTACCTAGGCTGCCAGCCCCAACCGATGCCGAAAGCGACATGATTGTCTCGGTCGGTTTTCGTTTTTTTTGTCGGATGCCCGGCTTCGCAACGCGCCTCTCGTCAATCGGTGGTGTGGAGATAGCACCTGGTGGGAAAGAGCTGGCCAAATGAGACCTCATCAAGCGGCTTGGTGGATGACCTATAGCTCAGAATCTAGCTTTTCCAGTACCTATACTGAGCCGTCTCTTGCCATTATACGCAACTGATTCAAGTCGAAGCACAAAACGGTGGCCTCCAAATGTGTGAGCGGACACATGAAGGAACACATGCCCAGTGTGCCCGTACAACATGCCCCGGCCGATCTGTATCGTCCGGGCCGGGCCACGTTGGACGATCCGGGCTTCAGCGGTGGGGATCCGAATGGAGCAGAAGAACAGCTCCATGGAGATCCGATTGGTTCGAGCCTTTTTTTCCTCCTGAAGCCCCCCCCCATCCGATTTGGGGTGCCATTGTTTAAACGTTCAAGGTATTGAATGTATTGAGAACTGGTCCATGTCTGAACGAAACTTTTATATACAGACTCACACATCAATCATGGGCCCTTTCAGACTTCAATCTACCCTCCCCAAGCTAGCGATGGACTGTCCACCCCAACTGCAATGGTTCATGGTTCGCCCGTGGGCCTTCACACAATAGAAAACAACATCACGGTCGACCCCCGAGACCAGGAATCCTTCGGAATCGACACTCGGAATCCTCACCGCTTACGTGGAGTTCACCGCTTTGGATCTAACCGGACAACTCATGGTCCCTTTTCGGGGCCATCCAGGTAACGACCATTCCACTGGAGGACGGTCGATCTCCATCATGCCCAGAACTTGAAGACGCCCAGTGGATCCACTGATAGTCGGGTTTTGGAGTCGACAAGAGGCTGGAGTCTTTGAACAAAGGCCCCACTCTCCTGGAAACATGGGTCAAGAGGCCTTCAAGGAACCACGCGCTGCCAAAACACGATACTTTTCATCCACTGGAGGGATCAATTTCGACTGTTTGCAGTAACAGAAGGGATGGAAAGCAAAGAAATCTCCCTGTT